CTTTTGTTATACCAGGTGTAGATGTGCGCAACCTTAGAACTGCATTACGTACTAACTTTTTTCTGATTTTAAGTTCGCGTTGTACTTTCTGTAAATCCATCACTTTTGTTTGTGATTTTGTAATAGGTATTAAACGTTTCTTGTCAGGCTGTTCAACGTCATATAATAAATTTACAACTCCCTCATCTTGAAGTAATCTATCTATTTCGTTAATAATTTTCTTTTTAGGTTTAACATCTCCTGATGTTGAATCTGCTGTACTACGTTTTTGTTGTGGTTTTGTAACTTTTTTAGATTTTTTTGATGTTGTATTTAACTTAGTTTTTAAATTAACAGATTTTTTGTTTGATTTAATTTTTTGTCGCATGAGTTTTAACATTTTTCTTGGTGCAATAGGTTGTGGTCCCTTCTTGGAAAGACTTTGTTTTGGTCTTTTAACTGATGGATTTTCAGATTTTTGTATAATATTATCGATTTTATTTGTTAATTGTTTATTAGTTATTTCCTTTGTTACCGTTTCTGCGTCTTCCTTACCTGTACTACTTGATAACACAATGTTATCCTTACCTAATTCATTTTTATTTAATAAAATTGTATCAATTAACTCTTGTTTTGGTTCAGACTTCTTAGTCAAGGAGACTTTACCTTTGTAAACTTTTTGACGTTTCGTTATATTCTGTTCATGTTCTCTTGCTTTTTCGGTTGGCTTACGTTTCCTACCTGATCTTGATTCATCACTTCGTACATCTTGTCCGCTTACATCGTGATATTTCTGTTCTTCTTGGGTAATTGAATGTGCAGCCTCAGTTTCCGGAGAAGTTTCATCATTTGTATTGAATTTTACTTCTTCATCTATTAAGTCAATATTAACGATCTCTTTATTTTCATTTTCAGTTTCAATATCCTTATCAATGCTTTTAGATATTTTATTGAGTCCTGATTTAACTGTTTTTTTTCGTTTAGGCGTATTCTTCCTTAATGGCGTTACAGGCAATTCAAGAAGTTGCTTTAATGCTAGTTCACGTTCGATCGAAGGGTCAAGTTTAGGAGGTGAATTAAGTTCATTATTTATAATGTTTGCTGAATTTTTTCCCTCGTCTATAAGTACAGGTGGTTTTAAATTGGACCAATCTGGATCAACATCACCTTCTAAGATTGCTAATAATTCCTTGTTATCAGAACTTCCTTCTTTTGGAGATTGCACAGAAATATTTTCTGTATTTTTCTTACCAAAACTATCTGATGATAACTGAGGAGGATGTGGTAATGGAATAAGTGCTGGCATTGAAGATATAGAACCACCAGCTAATTTGCTCGATAACCTTTGTGTGATTTTTTTTACAAAAAATATGTCTGGTCCAGATGGTGCTTCAACATTTTTTTGTTTCTCTCGTAATCTCTCTTTTAATACTTCTGTTACTTCAGCAGGTGAAACTATTTGACTAGTTAAATGACGATTACGATTCTTAATCGGTGCTATATTGCTTTGTACTGCCTGATGTGACAAAACTGAATCTTGAGTAACATTGCGCGCAGATTTACCAAGATTTTGTGGTAAGGAATGAGTTAGTTTTTCTTGTGTTATAGATGATGCTACAGAGGTTTCTTGAGATGTAACAATAATTTTATTTTGAATTTGTTCTTCTTCCACTATTGTATCCTTGATAGGTTTGTCTCTAGTATTATCAACAAGTATTACAGTGTTATGTGAAATATTAATAACAGATTTATTATCATCAGAAGAGATTTTCTTTTCTATTATCGGTGTTGTATTATCTACGATTTTTGCGTTTTTCGGTTCATCCAATAAGCTTTTCAATTCAATTTCTACTGAATCTTGTACTTTAGGATTTGATTGATTTTCTTCTTCAAGATTTTCTACTCCCCAATCGTCAAATATATCTTGAATAACACTTCTTTTAGATATCGATACTATATTTGATTCCATTTTAATATCTGATTTCGCATTTTGAAAAGTGCCTATGGGAAGCGCAACGTCATTATCTTCAGTAGAAACATCTTTGATGTCTAGTATATTGGCTTTGCCCATGTCAATGTAATTTTCGATCTTTATTTCATTCTTTGTGTCAACCTTTAGTGAAGTATTCTGCTTAATATCATTACTGTCATTTTCTTGTGAAATATTTTTACCGTCATTATCATCATTTTGTAAATCCCTACTGCTATGAAATCTTTTATCTAAAGTATTTTTTAATGGTGTATTTAATTCATTTTTATCTTCATCTATGCTTTCAGTCTTATTTTCTGATATACACATTTCCGTATCTTTTGATTGCACAATCTCTGTTGAAATGACTTCTATAACCGTACCGCTATCTTCTTGATGATAATCTATAACTTCCAAATCATCATTTTTATGGTTATTTTTAATATCCTTATTATTTGACTCAATTAATTCTTCCTTTTCGCTATTTATCGTGTCTTTTATTTTTTCTTCTAATGTAGTCGATACTATAACTTCTTTGCTAGAATCAGAAGGAATAGGTATGGTTTCAACTGTCAGAACAACAACTTCTGAATTTTCTTCAACTAATTTACTTAGTTCTGCATCCATAACTATTGAATTGTTTTGATTATCGTCATCCTTACTCGTCTGTTTAATAGTTTCATGTAAGGAACAATCTTTATTGTTGGAGACTTTACTTAATGAATTAAGTAATTCGTCGCAAGCAATGTTGGCACTTACTGATTCGCTTACGTTTACTATCGTACAGACAGTACTGTTTTTGTTTTTCTTTGTATTATTATCCATTATTACTTCTTTGGATATTGTTGATGGTTGTATACTATTATACTGTACAAGATTAGATTCATTTTCTACTTTGATTGATTTTTCGGATAAGAAATCAACTTCTTTAATGCATTCAATTTTTTTCTCAGAACATTGGTCATCATCAGTATTTTCCACGCATGTTTCTATAGTAATGATATTTTGAGTCAGAATTTTTTCAAACAGATCATTATTCTTTTCTTTAAATAATATTTCATTACTATTTTTTAAAGTCTTCTGTTCCTTAGAATCTTCTATTTTTTCTATTTCTTCTATCGAAGTATTTTCAATATCAATCCGTGCATTAGAAACATCATCAAATAACACCGTTTTGCAATTACTCTGTAGATCTTTTTCAATTTTATTTATACTTGTTACTTTCGTATTGTTTTCTACATTAGAACATTCCACGGTATTCATTACTTCTTCATTTACATTAATATTTTCATTTTTGTCATTACTAATGCATTCATCCAATGTTGTATTTACTTGTTCCATTATAATGTGGTAAGATTCTTGCAATTTTTATATTAGATTATAGGATTTCCTGCAAAAATTAAAATATCAAAATATTTCAAAGATATACACATAAATATTTTATAACAAGTTCTCTATATAAATATACTCGACAAGTCATTATAAGTATAATTGAAAATATTATAATATAGAAATATTGATTCTATTATGTTTACAATTAAATATTAATTTCAAAATAAGCCAAGTGTATTTCTAACAGTAAACAAAATGAAATATAACAATAAAATATTAGTTAATTTATTCAAAAAATAAAATACAAGAAGGTATATTAGCACTTTTGACATTAGAAATATTATATAGAAATGTCATAACCTAATAGACATATAATTTGTTACTTAATACGAAAAATCAACTAGATTTATACGTTTAAAAATGAACGACCATATTTAGAAGACATTATTCACCTAATAATTAATAAACTATCATCAATAGATGTGTGATATATATATATATATATATATATATA